AAAATAAATAAATAAAATTAATTATAATAATGTAATTACACCCTCATTTTTATTTTTAATAAAGAAAAAATTATAATATTTTTAAATTAAAAATTAGTCATTTTGTCTAACTAGTAAATTTTGTTTTTTAAGATAATATATTTTTTTGATGATAAATGAATGCAAAAAAATAAAAATATTATAATCACTTAATGTGATTAAAGGTAAAAAAAATTGAAACTTAGTAGATAAATATTAATTAAAAACTATGATAAAAAATTAAAAAAAGTTAAATGCTAGTTTTGGTCCCTCAACTTTATAGAGTTGCACATTTTTGGTCCTTCAACAAATTTTTGCACTTTTTTAATCCCTTAACTTTAAAACTTGCACAATTTTAATCCTTCCGTCAGTTAAGTGGCACTTGACAGTTAAATATTCCAGAATGGCACTTTTTAATGACGTGGCAATGACAACTCATACAATTAGCTTACGTGGAGTATGTCAAGTCAGACTTAATTGGTTTTTTTAATTTTTTTCAATTCTTTAAATATTAAATTACTAAAATGCCCTTAATTTATTCCTCTTGCCATGGTTCTCCTTTGTGCTTTCTCTGTTCATCTTGCTATCGCCACCATTTCTAGTCATTTTTCCTCCCCTTCCCCCTCATCAATATGGCCATGACGGGTTCATGAGGAACCCAGAGACGATCTGGGTTCGTCCACCATTTCCAGCCATTTTTCCTCCCCTTCCCCCTCATCCCCTTCCCCCTCATCAGCTTGGCCATCTCATGAACCCAGATTTGCTTTGGGTTCGTGACGAACCCAGAGCAGATCAGGGTTCGTCGCGAACCCAAGTCTGCTCTGCTCTAGTTCGCTGCTCTACTCTGCTCTGGGTTCGACGCGAACCCAGAGCAGATCCGGGTTCGTCGCGAACCCAAGTCTGCTCTGCTCTGGTTCGCTGCTCTGCTCTGCTCTGCTCTGGTTCGCTGCTCTACTCTGCTCTGGTTTGTTGCTCTGCTCTGGGTTCGACGACGAACCCAAGTCTGCTTTGCTCTGGTTCGCTGCTCTGCTCTGCTCTGGTTCACTGCTCTACTCTTCTCTGGTTCGTTGCTCTGCTTCGTTGCTCTGCTCTGGGTTCGACGCGAACCCAGGTTTGCTCTGGGTTTGTCGCGAACCCAGGTCTGCTCTGGGTTCGGCGCGAACCCAGATCTCTTCTGGGTTCATCGCAAACCCATTTCTTTGTTGCCATAGATTAGGTAAAATTTGTTGAATATATTGATGTTAGAGTCCAGTTTGATTCATGGTGATTCATTGTCAGTTCGATTATTTGTCGCAAACCCACAATGTTCATTATTAATTCCTTGTTTTTGCAGGAAGATGTATGCTAACTCTCTCATTCATGGTGATTCACACATGCTTTTTGCAGAGGATAGAATAAGGTAAAGTAGATTTATGGAGGAAACAGTGGCATTTCTTCTGAAATTTTATGTTGCTTTTAATTGTGGAGTACTGAATGAAAGAGGATGAAAGAGGCATTCTGAGTTCATGACGAACCCAGATTGTCTCTGGGTTCCTCATGAACCCAATCATGCCCAAGAAGGGGATGAAGGGAGGGGAGAAGAGAAACAGTGACAACCAAAGGAAAAATGGCTGAAAACAGTGGCGGTGGGAAGGAGAACAAAGAGAGCACAGAGGAGAACGATGGAAAGAAGAATAGATTAAGGGCATTTTAGTAATTTTATATTTAAAGAATTGAAAAAGATTAATAAGGACAATTAAGTCTGACTTGGCATACTCCACATAAGCTAATTATATGAGTTGTCATTGCCACGTCATTAAAAAGTGCCATTTTGGAATATTTAACTGCCAAGTGTCACTTAACTGACGGAATGATTAAAATTATGCAAGTTTTAGAGTTAAGGGATCAAAAAAGTGCAAAAAATTGTTGAGGGATCAAAAATGTTCATTTCTTAAAGTTGAGGGATGAAAACTAGCATTTAACCATTAAAAAATTAAAAAAGATAAATTTGTCAATAAAATTCAAAAAATTCCAGTCTGCTAACGGTTTGATATAAAAAACTACCTAAACTAACTTTTTCAATCCACTAGTAGTTTAAACTCTAACTGTTATCCACTAGTCCCAAACTGTTAAATAAAAATTTTTATCAAACATCTTATTTGTAACAATTTTGAAATATATAAAGTTACCAAATACTTGTGTTTAGCAGTTTAGGCAAAACTGCTAATCGCTACTACAAAATTGCTATACCAAACAGGCCTTAAGAAACACGAGAGATCATTGAAAACTTAGAATAGTGGTGTTGATATTATAGTGAAAGATCAAAGCTATAATAGTGGACAGCTTGTAGAAAAAGACATTGACTACTATGGAGTATTAACCAAAGTAGTCAATACCGTATCGGCATACGTATCGGTTTTGTTACTGGAACGGTACGTACCGGATACCGAAATTTTTCGCGTATTGTTTC